AGGCGGCTGCTCCAGTGGCTCAGGTGGCGACGGTTTCTGAGTCAGTCAACATTGGAGCCGATACACAGACACCAGAGCAATTCATACCCGAAGCGGATCGCGTTGCCCACTACAGCTACATTCATTCGCAGGGCAAGGCTCTTCTGCCGACTCCAGCTGCCGCTGCCCAAGTCGTTCCTGGCAGCGACTCCAGCAGCTACCAGCCAGAGCACTTGATTCCCCAGCATCTGAAGGCCGTTCATGAGGAAAGTGGCACCGCTGCTGTGGCTACCGAGTCGTTCAACCTTGGAGCCGACACCCAGACACCGGAGCAGTTCATACCCGAGGCCGATCGCATTGCCCATGCCACCTACGGACAGGAGCAGGCGCCAGTGGTGATTGGTGCCAATACCATTACACCTGCGCATCTGTACCAGGAGCCCACATCGAATGGCATCGAGGAGTTCAACGCGGAGACGCACGTGCCCGTCGTGATTGGACGCGATACGATTACACCAGCTCATCTGCAGGCCAAATACTCAGCTGGCGCTAGCAGCAACTATGGCACTCAGTACGGATCCAATGGCGGTTATGTTTACTAAACTTTTGAATTCTCTGGCCACAATAAAGTATGAAATAAAATTTAAGTTCAATTGATTTGTGTTGCGCATGGACACCAAGCTCTGCAGAGTATTCATGTTTGCAGCAACCGCAGCCGACTCGACTGAAACTATAATTTTAAATGTCAAACCAATATTCAGTCAACAGTCGTCACGGTCCACTCCGGGCACAACGATAATTCGTTTCTAGTCTAAGGCATTGATATTAATTAGTGAGATCATAGTAAGCATTATCTGGCAGGTCGAAGATAAGATACGCTTGCCCAATATATATATATATAATTTTGTGTCTTTGCATTGAATTAGAGACTATGTGACTAAAATTAAAACTGTTCAAAATAACAGATTAAACACTAACGGGTTAATAGTTAATTATAAATGTATACAAATATAAGTTCATTTACAAAGCTATTTGGAATTCGGTTTCATTTTGTTTACATAATCTGTTGATGTAACTTGTAATTAAATTATTTTTTATCAATCAAAAAACTAAAGTATTTAAATATTAAATTTGTTAAACTAAATTCATGTTATTAACATTGGCTTATACAGTAATTCCATTAACTTTACATATTACATTATGTTAACTTTACAATACATACTGTTAAGGTTCTAATAAAATAATGAGTTTTTATTAACATTTTCATTATATATTGCACGTATACTATTAATGGTAAAATGTTAATCTTGTTGTTTCATTAACATTTCCCGAGATGACCTATTTTTTTCGTGACATGCTTCCTATACACTGTACAAACAGTAACATTGTTCGGAGCTGTTAACTGACTATCAAGTTAACAGACATGTAACTGACCTTAAAACCAGTTAAGTTAAGTTTAAAAAAAATGTGTAATAATTACTGTTGTGAAAGCTAGTTAGTACGTTAGTCACTGTGCCCTTTCCCTTATATTTTTCCTTGCCAGGCGCTAAAAATATGAAGAGTCCATCAATCTTTTGCCTGTCCTTAAGTGGGCTTTCCTTTAGCTTATCTGCACAGGGGACAAAGTAATAAAAGGAATGTTGTGGATCTGGCTGTTTTTTAAGCAACACCAAGTTCATGAACCTTTTGGCACGGTGGCCAAAGTAAAAGTTGATCCGTGTCGCCAGCGCTGCTCTTCCTCCCCATGCGATGTAGCTTATTATGTAAAGCTGCGCGCACCGCTCGTAACCTATGTGAGGGTCTGTCGGCGAGTTCTCAAGGCCGGTTGTCTTCTTTTTAGAAAGTGCCCCGTAATGCCAGAGCGAGACTGGGCCAGCACAGCAGTGAATCATTGTGCATTCTTGGCCAGTCGCGGCCGCTTGTCATGAACGGGATGCGGGCCAGATCGATCGGATGCCGCTGGCCAAGGTCTTACCCATGCCCAATTGGGCTGCTCTACCTGTTGGTGTGGGCCCTCTTCGTTTTTGTTAAACTTGTGGCAAAAGCCAAATGCAATTAATTTCTTAAATTGTAACAATGCAGCGAAAGGTTCAGCTCGGGCTCCAATAGTTCGCACAAGCCCATAAAATCCATGACCTTCAAATCGAATGAGCTCGTGCGCGCCCTTTTGCCATCTCCCTTTCGCACACTCTCACTTGCACTCTCTCTCTCTCTCTCGCTCCATGTCTCTGTCTCTCTCTTGCGCGCGCCTGTCTTCTTTTCTCACTTGCCTTTTCTGGCGCTAATGAGCCGCATGAAAATTAGTTGACAGACTAGTATTAAAATATCTATTAGCCGGTTAGATTTTTGGGATGATGTGTGGCCAACAAAGTTGTCCACGAGTTGTACCAAAATCGGTTGCGGAAAAGTTTTGTAAATGCGTAAAACTTGTTTACGCCTTTGCTTTGCTTTTATTTTTGTATTATTGGTTTTATTTTTTTTTTTGTATTTTTTTTTTCTGGCATCTCTTTATTTATGTTTTTTTTTATTGTCTGTTTCTTTTCGCTGAGTGTATATTTCAAGTGGAAGCTGCAGACGTAGCCGCCGCGAGCTGCTTCTTCTCGAAAAGTGCTGCAAGTTGAGTGATATTTTTTGCGCTATAAATTGCCGGCATGCTTTAGGGATCAGCATCAGTTTCAGCGTCTAGCTCGTCCAGTACAGTCGTAGTCTCGTAGCTAACAATCCAACATGGTTAGTACGAGTTAAGCGTTGGAGTAATTCAGCTAATTAGCTTAATTACGATTGCCTTTTTTTTTATCCTCGATAATTATTTGATTTTATTTTTTTTTTTACTGTGCAAGTGTTTTTCTATTATTATTGCTATTGCTATTGCTGTGCTGTGCTGTGCCGTGTGTTTAATCGAAGCAACAATGTCTTGTCTCGTCCATTGCAGAAATTCCTGATTGTGTTCGCCCTGTTCGCCTGCGCGGCCGCCGATGTCAGCCATCTGACCAAGTATCTGCCACCTAGCCAGAGCTATGGTGCACCCAGCAACGAGTATTTGCCGCCCGTGCAGCAGCAAACGTACGTGGCGCCCTCGGTCGGCTACTCGACTGGCGGTTCATCCTACTCGACTGCTGGTGCCTCCTACTCGGCTCCTTCCGTCAGCTATAGCGCACCCAGCAACGAGTATCTGCCTCCAGTGCAGCAGGCGTACAGCGCTCCGGCCGTGCAACAGACCTATTCCGCACCAGCTGTCTCCTACTCGGCTCCCTCGGTGAGCTACTCCGCACCAGCTGTCCAGCAGACCTACTCTGCTCCGGCCTACCAGCAGACCTACTCTGCCCCCGCTGTCCAGCAGAGCTACTCCGCCCCGGCCGTGAGCTACTCTGCCCCAGCTGTCCAGCAGAGCTACTCCGCCCCAGCCTACCAGCAGACCTACTCTGCACCTTCGGTTAGCTACTCTGCTCCCTCGGTTGCCTACTCCGCACCCGCCTACCAGCAGAGCTACAGCACTGGCTCCTCCGCCGGCAGCTACTCGTCTGTCGATGCCGGCACCCAGTACGCTTCCAACGGCGGCTATGTCTACAAGAAGAAGTAAGACGCTGGAAACTGTTCACCAAATCGAATCAACATAATTGTAATTAACATTTGACATGTTTTTTGCTCCGCGTATTCTATTCATTTGTTTTTTTTTAACCTGTGTGTATATGATAATTAAAACAAAATACAAAACATATCTTAAATATTTTAATATATATTTTTCCATGAGAATCTGCCATCAGATTCAAATTTGAGTCCAGATCCTGAGCTTAATGTCTAAAGCCGCAGAGCTGAGTGCATTCTGCGAGTCATAAGTACTCAAGCTCAAAAGCTCCCGATGAGCTTTTTATGATGTTGCCAAAGCTAACAAGTTATCTTTACTAACTTATAGGGCTTAAGTGCTTAAGCTCAAGCTTTTTTGTAAAGCTTTTCAACATGCGATTTGTTCCTAGCAAAGCTCTTTCATACGGGATTTTATAAGCTATGCCTCATGGCTAGGCGACTAGCCCATACCCTTAGTAAAAACTTAGTCTTGCTTTAATACATTCAATTTAAATAAACTTTGTTAATTAGGTATAACATTCGTTAAAGTAATGTTATGCAGCAAACTAATTTGTATCTTAACTTTCCATTTACAGCTACAGTATTGCGCACTTATTAGAAATAAAAACTGTTAGTATCTGAGATATTTCGAAAAGAGAAGGGTTGTTATATGCATAGCTATTCGATCTTATTACATATAATAATGAAAGAAATGCTGAGTATATGAGACACAGCTATTCGACGCTAAATTGCAGGGTATATGCAAGTCGACTTACTGTTGTTTATAATATTCAAACAGCATATAGACTGGGCATCCAAGGTATATCGTCTGGAAACTAGTGGAGTTCTTAATCCTATTAAGAACTGTTGATAGTTTTATTTATTTTATACCAGGCCTAGCTCGTATGGCGAAGAATCAATTCGTAATTGCTGAAATATGCGCATATTAATAGATTCTTGTTGCTGGAATAGATAATTTATAATTATTATATCATAGAAAGCGTTCACTAACTAGAGGTTATTTTTCTCGATGCCGAAACTGGAACTGAATTGTTAATTACCAAAGCAAACCAGTTGGGAGAAATGTTTTTGAATAGTCTTTGTATGCAAAATCGCTGGGAATTGATGGTGTGGAGGCGGGGAGGGGGATTGTATAGATATATATATATATATATATAGATATAGATATGTGACAGTTTAATAAATTTGCCCGCCTGCCTAATTAATTTTTATAGTTCAGTTTTGGCGCCACAACGGAACTCCGTGGCGAGAGATAGCATTATAATGCAAAGTAAAGGAAAGTGAAATGACACGGATACGAGATGTTTATGTAAGTTTTGCTAGATCACAATGTAACTGGCGAACTGTGGAATCGTCTTATAAGTGGCCACTTACAGTGCCAACGGCGCACAGTTCACTCCGCCCGCTCGAGCTTGAAGCTCGCTCAACGACACGAACATAAACATCGAACAAAGATGCTAACGCAGCCGTGGATCACATGGCCGCTAGTGCTGTTGCTCCTGCTCCAGCACCTGGTCAACGCAGATGTTAGCCATCTCTCCAGCAACTATTTGCCACCAGAAAGCGAGCAGCCAGCCAATCAACCATTGGCGGATGAGGAAGCGCCTGCGGAGGATATGCAATCCAATGATCCTTTCTATCCGATGAGTGGTCTGATGCTGCCCTCGGGCTACGCAATACCCACAGGTAGCAATGTGCCACCACCGGCCATGGCGCCGCCCAACTTTCCGCTGCCCATCTATCCGCCGTTCTTTGGATTTGGCGGTGGGCCAGAAGGATTTGGAATGGGAGCTGGTCAAGTGCCGCCTGGCTATGAGGCGCAGTTTCCGGGTGGACCGTTTCCAGTTGGCGGACAGGGTGGCCAGTTTCCGATTGGCCCACAAGCTGGTGGTTTTCCAACTGGTCCACAGGGTGGACAGTTCCCGGGTGGACTACAAGGTGGACCTTTTCCAGTTGGCCCACAACCTGGCCAGTTTCCGGTTGGACCACAGGGCGGGCCGTTTCCAGCCGGACCGCAGGCCATTCCGTTTCCGGCAGGATCACAGGGCGGGCCGTTTCCGGGTGGACCACAGAACAATGGCTTCCCGATCGGGCCTCAGGGAGGTGGCTTTCCAGTTGGACCTCAGCCTGGTCCATTTGGACAACAAGGTGGACCAGTTCCCTTCCCTTCCCCACCCGATTACCTGACCATGCAAGGCTTACCCTCCCCAGGCCTGCAGCTGGGCTTCCAACAGAATGTCGGCTTTGGCATGCAGCCCGGCTTTGGTAGCCCGCAGCCCGCATATCCCTACCAGCAGCCCTTCTCGCCCAGCTTCGGCATACCCGGCCAGCACTATCAGCCCCAGCCGCAGCCATATGCGGACGAGCCACAGCCAGAAACGAATGCAAAAGCAAAGAGCAGCTCTGCAAAAAAGTTGGCCAAGTCCCGCAATAAGGAGACCCTCTATGCCTCCAACGGCGGCTACATCTATAAGCGCGCCAAATGAGTTACACCGATTTTATAGCCCCGTAGCGATATCATTAATTTATTATTAAACACATTTCATTTCGTTATTCAACTTCATCACCTTGTGTTTGCTTTTTTTTTAATTTCGTTTATGGCTCTTCGAGTTGAGCAGGCACAAAAGGTTATGCTGGTCGTAAAGTAGATTCATTAGGTAAAATTAATGTCAGCATTTCAAGAGGGCAGCGTATAATTTCTCGTTCGAAAATTAACTACACCTAAAAATTATCATTTATCAGATCTTCAGATCTTTTCCTTAAAGCTAAGATTAAGTAACATTTTTTGTTAAACTACTTATTTCTTTTTTACAATCTGTTAAAGGAAATATTCTAGGCGCAGATATTATCATTTGGAATTCTGATATTTTCTTTAAAGCTTTAAGATTAAGTAACATTTTTTGTTTAACTATCCATTTTTTACAATCTGTTATGCATCGAATAATAAGTTAATTAAATGAAACAGAAACTCGGCGAAAAGGGTAGAAAATTCTGTTGGATCATAATTACCCATCCAGCCGGTTCTATCATAATATTTAATTATTATTTAATAATTAATATTAAAATTGTGGCAAATATTATGTTTTTATGCACTGCTTCTAGTTGTAAGAAATTGTCAATTAAACAAACGTTCATTTGAATTTTGTTTCTCGATTCGATTCAATCGAAATCCCCTTCACATTGCAATGTTAATAAGTCACTAGCTCAAAGCACAACACATATACATTTTATTGTCAAGTAGAGGGTATAAGTAGAGGGTATACATTTAGATAGAAATCTTGCGGATGAGTTGAAAAACTTGCTCCATTTGTTTGCAATTCGCCACATTTCGCGACAAACGCCTACGAGAGTGTGAAGTGACGTGATATTTCCTAAAGTTTTCAAGTCGTATTTTATGTTTAAATGCAAATTCATTTGGCAACGGCCAGCGACAACAATGTTTTTATGATTATTTTGTTTTGTGGTTGCATTGTTGTTAATTTCCATCTTTCTTATTTGTAGCCCCTGTGTTATTTATTATTCAATCTGTTAACATGTTTGAATACATTTGCTTAATTCAATTTATGTATGTTTGTATACCCCGCAACTCGTGCACGTAAATTGATGTCACAGTGTGCGGGACGCATCTCTGATCTTATAGGGTATATATGTTCTTGATCAATAGCAGCAGTCTACCAAATACTTGTAATAGACCATGGTCAATTACAGTGTTACAATATTTAACATTAGTAAATTGCATTCTGTTATGTTTCGGGACTTTAGATCTGGCTACAGGGTATCTGCTAGTCATTTACCATGGACCTTCAGCTTCTTGATTGGTTATTTTTCACCTATGCCTATGATTAATTTTTATTTGTGTGTAAAACAACTTCATTCAGTGTTTTGTCAATTCTACATCTACTATCTGTACATAATAGAAATCAAGCTCTTCTTCTTGTTAACTTTAAAGACTGTTCGATTCGCAATTAGCCATAATTACTTAATGCAACTGTTGCCTCGGGGCCCCTGCAGAGACCCTCAACTTAACATTTTATCTGTTATTTCTTGTATGCGAACAGTCCCCACGAGCGACGTCGCTGACTGTTGATGTTGGCAATGTTTGTATTGTTCGTATGCTCGATATGCTCTGTTAAGATCGGACTGGCTTGACAGCATTATCATAATAAGACAAATGATATTCTTAACAGATGCAAACGCACTCAAAAACGAGTCCCATACAACAGTTGCATACATATGTACATATGTATTTATATTGACTTAACAATCAAAATATATTTTTTGTTTATGTTTTGATATCATAATATCCGTAAATTCTCTCATGCTTATTTTATACATTGATTAAGTTGCCAAAAGTATGCAAATACAATTTTTAAGCACGAAATCGACAATGGCAATGGCGACAAACGAAAGGTAAGAAACGCATAAAAATTAAAATGTTCTTACTTTAAATTACATACTAGTTTTAATGTCACTTCAATTCAAGTGCAAAGCCAAGCCAGTGCTGCCACACCTAGCTCGAACGCAAAATGCCAGTTAAGAGCTACTTGCGCCTGCATCGCTTGTGACGTCACAATGCGCTGTTAAACATGAAAGCTAGTTCGAAGCCTTGGCCTCGTTTTGTTATCGAAATGTAAGCGAAATGTTATCGGAATGCCAACTTTAAGGGGTTCACTATGGATCGCTGATATCCATTTCGTCGTAATCTCGCAACCTGCGTGCAGTCAACGCACTTTACCTATTGCGCCAAGACGACAATTGGCTGTACAAGCAAAATGTGAAGTTGGCCAAAATGCAAATATGTAGCTGTACACATAACACCATAACCATTTGGCCACTGTGAGGCAAATCTTTATGTTGTCAACTGGTGAGTCTGGAAAATTTGCATGTGCCTTTTCGCGAAGCGAAAAGAAAGCAATTTGTGCAACGCTTTGGACAGCGCCCTCAATGTTGGCCAAGATAACCAGATGGGAAACTTGAGATTAGACCTGATTTGCCCACGTCTCGGCACACACACAACAGCGAGCATTTTGCATAGCGTGTGTTTACAACTTTACGAGCTGGCCCATTGTTTTTCGTTTTCTTTAACATTTAGCATTTGGGTATTTATTAAACGGTTCGGTTCAAAGCTACATACAGCAAAATTGCACGCTTTTGCTGTGAACATACTTTGCATTCAAATATTCACACATAGATGGCGCAGCTGACGCTGAACCAATTATGGGCAGACAGAAGCAGAGTTTGACAATGATGCCAGTGCCAAGTGCCAAGTGCCAAAAGCCAAGTGCCCTGTCCATCGTCCGCGATGGCTCTTTAACTATAAATGCCCATCAGACCTGTGGGACAGGCATCAGTTTTACGGTTTCGTTCGTTTGGTGTAGCACGCGCAGCTGTAACTCCACTCAACATGGTAAGCGATGCACCCAAGTGAGACAATCTTCACTTTTACCATTTACCATTTGCCTTTCGACGCGCCAACTTTGTATTGCTTAATCTGCTTCATCTTTTTCCTTTTATTAAATGTCTTGTGTGCCAGAAACCAGTTGCGTTTCTCGCTGTTGCCGTTGCCATTGTGGGCCTAGCTGTGGCCCGTGCCCAGTCCAATAGCTACCTGCCACCGGCACCTGTTAAGGATCTGTTTAGCCAGAGGTTACCCGTACAGCAGAGCTATCAGAGCTTCCAGCAGCCGCAGCAGCCCATCGCACAGATTGAGTCCATCAGGCCATCCGTATCGCTGGGCAGCTTTACCATCCAGAATGGTGGCCAGTTAGGCTCCATCAGTCAGCAATATCGGGCGCCAGCTGCTGCCATCAGCTATGAGGCACCCCAAACAATTGTGGCCACAGAGACGCCCCCGAGGAACACCTATTCGGTGTCAGCAATTCCCACGCAGCTCTTGATGCCATCCGCGTCGCCTGCTGTTCAGGAGCCCGCGCCAGCTGTTCAGCAATCAGTGACCGCCCCAGTTGCTGCTCCAGTAGCTCAGCAAACGTACTCCGCCCCAGCTCCAGCAGCTCAGCGAACCTACTCTGCTCCAGCTGCAGTGGCTCCACTGGTTCAGCAAACGTACTCCACCCCAACTCCAGTAGCTCAGCACACCTACTCCGCTCCAGCTCCAGTGGTTCAACAAATATACTCCGCTCCAGCTCCAGTGGCTCAAGAGCAGTACTCTGCAGCAGCAACCGCTCCCGTTTTGTCACAAACTTACTCCGCTCCGAGTGCAATCGTCCAGGAGAGCCATTCGGTGCAATCTTCTGCACAAGTTGTTCAGCAAACATATGCCGCACCAGCTCTAGTGATTCAACAGAGTCAGGCGATTGCAGCGCCCGCTCCTGTTGTCCAGGATGCCTACTCCGCTCCAGCTAGCGCATCAGCTGCTCAGCAAACTGTGTTAACGGCATCCGCTCCTGTCGTGCAGCAAACATACGCTGCACCAGCTTCGGCTCTCGCTCCGGCTCCGGCTCCGACTCGAGTGGTTCAACAAGTACAAGAGACATCCTTTCTAGCTGCACCCGTTCAACAGAGCCAATACACTGGCTACAGCTATCAGGCACCAGCAGCTCCGGTTGCCGCTCCAGTTGCTGAACAGTCCACTGCCAGCTACAGTGCACCCGAGCTTATCCAGGCACTGCAGCAGCAACAGCAGGTCTACACCACAACGGCGCAGGCTCAAGTTGACGCTCCGCTGCCATTGCAGCAATCGTTCGTGCCAGCCCCACCCACTCCTGTCCAGTCCGTCGAGCACTTTACACCTACTTACAGCTACGCACCCGCCGTTGCCCAGCAGCAGCCTGTGCCCACAACCGGTCTGCAGGCGGCTCCAGCTCCAGCTCTGGTTACGGCTCCAGCGACCAGCTCACTGACCAGCAGCACGGCTAGCGAAACAGCCAATGTCTCGGAGACCAACACCAAATATGCCAGCAACGGCGGCTACGTTTACGAGCGGACAAAGTAAATGCAAATGAATGGGCTGGCACAAAGCCGGACGCCGGATGCATGCTCGATGTCATTAGTTGTTTCATTAATGAACTTTACTTAGCCAAATTGTAGCCCTAGTCCTGTTAATTTGTTTTTTTTTTCTTCTTCTTTTTTAACCAAAATAAAATGAATACGAAAAACATGTTGAAGCCTTCGTTTGATTTGATTCATACAGTTTGGCATGCCCAGCTGTTAAAGATGCGCCGTTACAGCGCTGTAAATTTAAAAGCAACAGTAGCTTAACTAACGTAACAGCTTAACAGCCACTGTTCTGTCATCGTTACAAAAGCTGTTAACAGCAACTGCTTTGCGATGTTGCCAGTTGCAGCAAAAATGAAATTATGGTCAAATGTAAAGAAATACGGATTTGGGATGCTCACAGATCCCAAAAATAGACGGTCTTCAAATGCATTATATTGAATTGAATTATTATTATTATTATTTGCATTACTCATCAACTGTTGGCAATGCTACCTGCTGTTGATTAATTAATTCCAGTCCGCAGACACTGTCTGAAAAATCCCGCTGTGTTTTTCAACATTGCCGCAAGGCAACTTCTCCCAGTGCTTTCATCTTGATTGATTGTCCGTCTTGACTGATTGCAGGGCATGGAACTCGTTGGCTGCCGCGACTATGTACATATGTACACACATACATATGTATATGACCAGGGGAACCGGCGCGTCTCGCGTTATGAATGGAGTTTCCAATAACGTGCTTTATGGCTCGGCTATTAAATGGACGAGCTGCACAAAGAACAAAAAAACAAAAAAAAAAAAACATGTTTTAGATAGAATTTAGAGTTCTGCGTCCGCTAATGAACGAATGTCCAATCGTCAAAGACGGACGTCATAAGATCCCAATACGAGCTCCAGCCCGTTCTGAGCTCTGATTTGATTAGTTATTGCTATTGTATTTTTAACTTATTTACTTTTTGTATTTTGTTTATTTATTCATAGAAAGCTTATAATGAACGATATTTTATGAGCATTTTTTTAAAGCAGCTACAAGTTCTTATTATTTTTTTTTTTGGTCTCTACTCAACGCGTCTGTTTGACATTTGTATTGAGATCCGTTGAGAATTTCGACTATAAATATGTTAGGATGTGATAGCAACAAATTAGTTCTTTGACCAGCTTTGTCAACGCAGCAACACACACCTCCAACATGGTTAGTAGGGACACTGTCCTGGTGCCCGGTCTCCTGCTAATACACTTTGCTGATCTATTTTAGCAATTCCTCGCCATCGTCTCGTTCGCCCTGGTGGCACTCGCCGCCGCTGATGTTAGCCACTTGAGCAACACCTATCTGCCGCCCCAGCAGGTTGCCGCCGCCAGTACCTACACGGCGCCAGTGTTCAGCGCCGCCAAGACGTACGCCGCCCCGGCAGCCACCTATGCCAGCCAGTCGTATGTTGCACCCGCTGCCTCGTCGCAGAGCGCTTCCTATGCTGCACCGGCTGCTAGTTTTGCCGCCGAGACTGTTGCTGCTCCAGTTGCTGCCTACACCAGCGACTCCTCGTATGTGGAGCCCGCTGCCACTTACCAGAGCGCTTCCTTTGCCGCACCAGCCACGTCTTTTGCCAGCAAGTCCTACAGCGCTCCTGCTCCTGCCAGCTTCACCGATGGTGAATCGTATGCTGCTCCTGCTGCCACCTTCGAGAGCGCTTCCTATGCTGCTCCAGCTACCGCTTTCGCCAGCAAGTCGTATGCCGCTCCTGCCGCCAGCTTTGCCAGCGAATCGTCGTATGTTGCTCCTGCTGCCACCTTCGAGAGTGCCTCCTATGCCGCTCCAGCCACCGCCAGCTTTGCCAGCGAGTCGTCGTATGTCGCCCCAGCTGCTACCTACCAGAGCGCCTCGTATGCTGCTCCCGCACCCGTCGCTGCCGCCAGCTATAGCGCACCGGTGGTGAGCTACTCCGGAGCCAGCTCCTCCGGCATTGACACCGTCTACGGCTCCAACGGAGGCTATGTCTACAAGCGCAATTAAGTCCTTCCAAAGAGGATTTTAAATATTTAATTTTTTTTTTTTTTTTTTTTAATTTTGTATTCACACAAAATTAAATAATTTTTAAACAACCAAAAACGATAAACGAAACGATTTATTTATTCTTAAGGGAATCCCCCTTCATCCGGCAAATAAGAAACCAAATTCCAGCTCAATAATTGGAATATTCGCAGAGCAGCTAAAACTGCTGATCACTTGATCACTGATCATTTGTTTATCCAGAAAGTGAGAATGCAAAATGCAGCTCATCCCAAAGAGATTGGAACACGATTGGAATTTTGAGTTCTTAGTGTGGTGTCTACATGGGCTATCCTGGCATGCCTGACCTTATACTCTGGTACACCATATAGTCTATATATATTCCTTAACTTGATTAATATGCATGCTAGTAAGGCAACGTTCATTTTTTCACTAAATACTAATTACAGGCTCTTTAATCTTAAGTGAACTTGACTCTGCTGCGGCTAGGATAAACGAACGGTCAAGAACTTGAATCAAGATCTCATAGATATGCACCTAACTAATCGTATATCTCATGTTATTATCTATATAAGATCCGATCACAACATTGTACATTTTCCAACTGAACTTTTTTTAATTCATTAATATGATTTATTGTTAGACTAAATAGAGTTAAGATTGGAATGTGTGCTACTCATCGAGCGTGTTTTTGGTGGACACATCCTGCTCCCTGACATTGGCCACAAATAGGATGTTCAACTTGCTGCTGATGGGCCGCTTGCTATCCTCGTGCTTTACGTGCAGAGTGCCGGAGTCCAAGCTGAACGTGCCCAACAATTGGCCGGGCTTGATGTAATAATTCTGTCCCATTGTTGTGGGCGTGGGATCCACAATAAATCGATACACCATGGACTGTGGCTCCTCGTCGCTGCTGACGATCAGCCTTGGTTTCGTTGTGGTCACAGCCATTGCCATGGACGTTGGCATTGGCAACACGTGTGCCAGCAACGCGCTGGCGACCAACAAAGACAAGCTCCAAGCCAGCTGCATGACTTATGTATGTATATTGAAAGATGTCAGAAACGAAATGCGGCTCGATGGTGCGACGAACTCAACGGAATGCCAGCAATGCACTAAGTCAGGTTCTGACTGACTGCTACATGCTTATATATGTCCTGATGCAGCTGAGCATTGGGCCAGGGCAATGCACTGACCGCACCGGCCCTTCTATGCGCTTCTCAATGCCTCTTCCTTGCAGCGAGTGGCCCGTTATTCGTGCATAACAAGTTTTGAAGGCCCATTAACATTAACCCGATTTCAGTTTCGCACTAAAGATGCAGCGCACAAAAAAAATATATATTTATATATATATATATATATTTAGCATATAAGCAAAGGCACGATATACACAAACGCTTATATACAAATGCAGTATGTTCAGCGCTTGTGAACAGCTCTCAATTCAACAGCTGAAAAGGAACATAATTAAAAAAAAAAATCCAAAACAAACTCACGCAACACAATAAATAAATAATTTTTGCAAATTACGTTTGTCGTTTCAGGTTTTATATATATATATATATATAAATATCTGCCAGATGTCAAACTTCTTTCCTGCGCTGAGCTGGCTAAAAAAGTAGTGGAATAAATAAATAATACATAATCAGCTTTTCGTTTGCCTGTGTTAGTTAAGCTAATAAATTAATTTATCAAATTCTCTTGTCATACCCTGTGCACATCAAAGGGGTGTATATGCACGATAGACTTTCTGTCAACAGACAAACCTGAAAAGTTAGACACTCTTGACTATTTTGTATTTTAATATCAGCTGCTAAACAGAACACTTAAATTATGTGCATTTCTTAAACTTGAAGAAATACAAAAAATTTAATTTATAACATAATAACAAATCATCCTAATGCCTCCTCTCTTAGACCTGCGTCCAGGGTATCTATTGGTCGCGCGATTCCGAATAAGTTCTTACTTGTTGGCAATTAATATGTATGTTTAGCTTTAATAGCCAACAAATTGACTGAAAGTGTTTGAAAAATAATTTATTAGCGCCGCCAAAATAGTTAATTAATTTTCATGAGTATGAAGATGAAGAAGAATTAGATTGGCTTTATTCTGTAAAAACGCCTCGGAATGCGGGCTCTACTCACTTTAATTAACAAACATTGAATACATGTTTAAATTATACGATTTATTTGAGCTATTCTGCAGCTGCTTAGCTCATCGAAACCTGCAATTTAGAGATTTAGAGTTCCTATAGCTATTCGACATGCATATGTATGCCTGGACACAAGATTGTGAATAAACTGCACTGAATCTGGTCTAAGGTAACATTTAACAATATTTTTCAAGGGAAATGCGAGGCAGCTGAGTTTTTGGTAAGCTTGGTCTGACCGGGTCTGACTGCAACATGGGGATAACTATTGCTCCTGGGAGATCATCTCAGATGGAACACAACCCAGAGGAAGCCGAAAGCAAAAGTATTATTACTCAAGAGTTGGCTAACGAAATATCTTTAAGTAAGAGCTGAGCACATGCAGAAGACATATCTCACTTCCGCTTTTTTAATGTTAAGAATTTCTTAATATGTTTACCTTAAAATTTATAATATTGCCTTAAAGTTGAGAGAAAAATCTAATAATTTTATAGAAAATTCTTTAATCTCACAGTCTAAACACAATTAAATGATAATCATATAAGCTATATGAATAGGTTAGCTTGGCTCTAAATCTCTTAGTAGATATTTGGGAGACACGACGCTTAAATTAAGCCAAAATAAACAAACTAGCTCTATATATAAAAACTGTTTGTCCTGACTGACTGACTGACTGACAGATTGGTCCAAACCGAAAGAAATGTTCAGCTTAGTGACGGGGTTTCAGGCAATTCCACCCGAAAGTATGGAAAAATCGCGAAAAACGTTTGTATAAAACTTTGTTGCTAACCATCCGATTGTCTTGAAACTTAATTTTGCTTATTGTCCTAAGATTGGAAATCAAAACCGAGTTTAAGAAATATAAACTACAAGACATTGTAGCTATACCCTTCCTTCAGAGTCTTTCGCTTGCTAAAGATCAAAAGGAACTGTTCGAGTGCAGCGCAAAATAAAACAAACTGAATTGTTAACAAAAATGAAAATAAACAAATGATGTTAAGCTAACAATTAATATTAAAGATTAGATAGGATAGGAATATAAAGAATACTTCTAGCCAAGTTTCTAAGTAGGTTCTTCCTAAAAAGGTTTCGATAGGCATATAAGGAATATTTCTCCCAAGTTTCTAGGTTTTTTTTTTTAAAAGATTACGATAAGAATATAATATATAAGATTGCGATATATAATAAACATTTCTAGCCATGGTATGTTCTTCTTAAAAAGGGTTGCGATAGGAATATAAAGAATATTTTTGGCCAAGTTTCTTTGCATTAAGGTGTTTTTAAAATGGTGCTTACTATCGAAAGCAAGTCTTTGTTTAAATGCTGTAAACACTTTTATTTAAGCACAGCTTGTTAAACATATAAGTAATAAACTCATTTAATGTGTTTTTCTTTGCTCGGGCTAAATAAATAGAGTGAATAAACAAATTTTAGCAAATTGAATTTGTATTTTATGTGTGCACTAAACTGTGTTCTCAACTTAACTAACTGCCGTCAGTCCACATGGCCTCTTGGAGACCAACTGATACATCTGTGCTCGGATAACGATCTGCAAAGCTGAGCGCGAGTCCGTAAACAAATTGTCCGCTTTATTGTTATTGTTTTTGTTGAGTTTGCTGTTGTTGTCTCTGATTCGAGTTTTTGTTGACGCAAAGACATGAACGCTGTACGTATTATAATTAATGGCTAATGTGAGTAATCGTCGCTTTAAGCCGGCGGACGCGGGCCCAAGAAGGAACTGTTTTGGCCAAGATGAAGTGCCAAGTTCCATGTTCCAAGTGCACGGCCCGCAGCTATGCCAAATCATTGGATTCCAGCCAAAGCCCAAGCCAAAGCTGAACCAATCCAAACTGAGGCAATGCGTTGGGCTACGATGCTTTGGCTTCGGCTTACTTATCTCACGTTCGTTTCGTGCTGTCAATACCAACTTCTGGGCAGGCTAAGCTCTGAACGCTGGCCAAAAATAAAAAGGCAAACAAAATAAAAAAAAAAAAAGACAAGAATAAAAATAGGAAAAAAACGCATCATTAATTAAACTTTCGAGGTATTTGCGTTTATGTTTGTGTGTTGGCTCTGTGACTTCCGAAATGGACATGGCTAAAAATAAACGGTCTATTAGATTCCGCGGCATCCTCTACAATCGCGTTAACACTGTGCAACAAGTTCTTACGTGCGTTCAGTTAAGAAGAAGAGCAGGGCGGTTATTTTCAATTAACATTTAGCCGTTAACTTTCAAATGCTTTCCTCTTTTCTGCGCGTTCCACGGAAATTTGTGCCCTTAATAAAGTGGCAGCTCTCAAATGGGCAAAGAGCGTTGCCACCTTTTAGCAGATATTCCATTAGTGGAAAAGAGCGTAAATGTGTTCAATACGTTTTTGTCTGTCTTGTAAGGAGGTCCGTCCTGGTTTTCACTCAGGGATTTTAAATACAATAAAATTATTTGGCATTCCTCAGAGCAAACGTGAAACGAAAACCAACCAGACGGGGACCATAGAATCGATTACAATTATAGTCCAACAAGCATGAAATTAAAAGAGAAAAAATGGCAAAGTAAATGGCGTGAAAAATCCCCGTGCTATGGCTAGGCCATGCTGTTCCTAGGAACCTTTGACAAACTCAATATTATTTTGAGCACAAAATTCGTTAAAATTAGCCACACTTCTTTTTCTTCTATAAAATGTATGATCTTAAAGCTAGCGTTCGAGTTTCGGTTGACTAGTTTAATTGAGATCTTGGATTCCGTTTCGTTCTTCTACCGCTTGTATTCCACTTTGGCTGACGGTGCAAAAGATTTGTACTCGCAATTCTTTTGTTTGTGGCCCCTATAAAAGTGTTGCCCCTCGATTTCAGTGGCATCAGTATCCGCTTGGCAAGCACCTAAGCAACTCCAAGTCGACATGGTAAGCCCAGCAATTGATGGTGTCGCATAAATCTCGTTAGCTAATTAAACACTTATCCAGCAGCGTCCGTTCCTGATTTGCTCTGCTCTGCTGGCCCTGGCCGCTTTGGGCGTGGCCAGTCCTTTGAGCAACAGCTACTTGCCGCCCCAGGCCAATGCGTACAGTAGCTACAGCTCGGGTGGATCGAGCGCCGCCAGCTCCTATGCACCGACGCGCTCGCATGGATATGCCCCATCAGCCAGCTATACAACGCCATCTCGACAGTACCTGGCGCCGACCTCGTCCCTGAGCAGCTATTCGACGGCAGGTGCCAGTAGCTACTCTGCTCCAGCTAGCTCTCTCAGCAGCCATTCATCGTCCACCTCAACATATGCACCCGTGGCAGCCCCCTCTCGTCAGTACCTGGCACCATCAGTATCTCGCAGCAGCTACTCATCCTCGGCCTCAACATTTGCACCAGTGGCAGCTCCCTCCCGTCAGTACCTGGCGCCAGCTACGTCGCACAGCAGCTACTCTGGTCCAGCTATCTCCCACAGCAGCTATTCCGGTCCAGCCGCATCCCACGGCAGCTACTCTTCCTCTGCCTCAACATATGCACCTGTAGCAGCCCCTTCTCGTCAGTACCTGGCGCCAGCTGCGTCCCACAGCAGCTACTCCGGTCCAGCCATCTCTCACAGCAGCTATACCGCTCCAGCTGTCTCTCACCGCAGCTTCTCCGGTCCAGCCATCTCTCACAGCAGCTATTCCGGTCCAGCCGCATCCCACAGCAGCTACTCTTCCTCTGCCTCAACATATGCACCGGTAGCAGCTCCCTCTCGTCAGTACCTGGCGCCAGCTGCGTCCCACAGCAGCTTTTCCGGTCCAGCCGCATCCCACGGCAGCTACTCTTCCTCTGCCTCAACATATGCACCGGTAGCAGCTCCCTCTCGTCAGTACCTGGCACCAGCAGCATCTCACAGCAGCTACTCCGCTCCAGCCGGCTCCCTCAATAGTTATTCGTCGCCAGCTCGTTACGCTTCCTCCCAAGGACTTGGATTGGGTGGCTTCGCAACAGCTTCGTCCTCTTCCGCTCGTAGTTTTGGAAACGGCTCTGGAGGATCGCACCATGCTAGCGGAGGTGTCTATGGTCACAGCCGCTCTGCAGGCGGCACTCGCTACGCCGCCAACGGTGGATATGCATACCGCCATAAGCACTAATCTGATCTCTACATTATACTATTATAAATCGGGCTAAAGGTTTACAGCTTTCATATATTTAATTGTTTTTTTTTTTTTTTCATACACTTGATATTTAGCTTATGTGTATAAATAAAGTTTAAAGTGCGCACTATATAAGAACTCTATCTAAACAATAATATTTTGAGACACAAACCGAACCATATACTTACATATTTTTTTAAAATGATTTTCCTCCTATCCAAATACAATATAAACACTCATCATAATGAGTAAGGCCCATTGAGTAATAAAGAGTAACTCCCATAAATGCGACGCATAATTATAGCCTGGCTTCTCATCTGGCATTTCCAATTTCACACGACATGCCAGCAGAGTGGCTGTTCGTTCTCCAAAAGCCGCGGCTTGCTGATGCTGACATTTGCAACAAAGTTAAAAATAATTATAATTAATTAATCATTTCAAGCTCAGTACATCCAACCTCATTCCATTCATACATACATATGTGAATACAAATTTGGGATAGGTCATGATCAGCGCTAGAAAACTTTCAAAATTTGTTTCTTTGCCAGCAAAAGAAAGAGCAGCTAATTCCAACACACTCAAATATGCTGTTATGTATGTACATATATTAACACACATACAAACATAGTTGCTTGCCGAAGCTGAGAGTACATTCTATTTTTAGCTTCTTCGCTTTTAAAGCGGGGAGAGCGCAATGATACTGATTTTGCGTTTATTCTCATTATCTAACTGCATTGTAGCATTTTATTGTATGGCGTTAACATCTCAGTGTTCGACATTGAGCATAAATATGCGTTTATGCGCTTATGTGTGCGTAAAAACCGAAACTCGAGCGACTCAACAAACGACGACGACGAACCGAAGCCGGCGACGCAGCAGCTGAGCTTAACAAAACGAAATAGCTTACAGTTTGTCAATAAAGTGTATTTACTAACAAAAAAAACTCATTTTATGGGCTTATTTAAATCATGTTTATGCCGTTAAGTTTAAGCAAAAATAAAGAATCAAAATAAATTAGTAATGAATAAAAAATCTCATCTTTAGGTAAATTTACTCCCAACTTAACCAAAAAATAAAATAGTGTTTTTTTGGCTAGTTAAAACACTTTATTGACACACTGTACATATGTACATATATATGTATGTACACACTTGCGTACATAGAATAAAGCGAAGCGCAGATAAAGCAAACAAATTTTAGTGACGAAATGAGAGGGAGCCGGGGCGTAAAGCAAAGCACTCGGCGCCTCTGGCTGCAAATGAAGGCATTTAAATTATTATTTTACGGCGAGCATAACCAGTAAAATGGCAAAATCTCAAATACATTGGGACAACTGTGAAAAGAAGAATTCGGGCATGCTGAATCTAAAGGAAACGGGAGCTACTCGCTCTAATTGCTGGCAAGGAGAAGGTTTTGGCACCGCGCGTCAATTTAGTGGTGCTGAATACCAACAGCCCCGCAGGCCCTGGCAAGGTGGGTTTTCGCAAAATTGCTAAGCTAAAGGTGGACTCAAACATTGGCTATGGCGGCCCCAGGAGAACGAACTTTGTGCCCGTGGTGGAGCAATTCGAGGCATTCTCCGTTAACGTGGACAATGCCGATACACAGGTACAAGCCCAGGCCAACGCTGCCGATAAGGGGAATATACAAAGTGGCGCCCAGAAACTCGATCCAGGCTATGATCTGGATGGCACGCCCATGACTGTCGAGGATGTGCTATCGCCCATGTCCGTCGACGATGTGCCGTGGCCTATGTCAGTGGACTGGTCAATGGCGGATGCGAGCAATATCAGCAGCGCCCAGCTTACTAACAGCAGCCATGTCGAGGATATGGCTGATCTTAGGAATGCGCTACTGCAAAGCAACGGCCGCCAGCGCCACTCCGAGGTGTTTCCGGAATTTCCGCGAGTGTGAGAAAAAGCATCGCCCAGAAGCGCAATGCATGCGTCGCCAAACTGCGTCTTATTATGATTGATTGGCTGGTCCAAGTCGCCGAGGAATACAGACTGGACACGGAGAGTCGGTACTTATCAGTCTCATATTTGGATCGCTTCCTCAGCCAGATGTTGGTTAGCACGGCAGCCATGCGCATTGCCTCCAAAGATGAGGAGACGTATCCACCAGATGTTAGAGACTTTGTCTATCTCACCGAGGACAGTTATACAGAGGCCTTGGTGTTGCGCCTGGAGAATGTGTTTCTAGAAAGTCTATCCTTCAAATTATGCACACGGAACCCCACGTCTTCATCAACATCTACGCCGTGCTGTGCGATATGCCCGAAATGCTGAAGTACATTTGTGAGCTCTCACAGTTGGAGGTAGAATCTTATATGCAATATTTGTCCTCGCTCATCTCGGCTGCTTCGCTTGCATTTGCACGTCGCAGCTGGAGGAGATTACCACGTACACATTGGAGCAATTGAAACATGCAGTCGTGCGCCTGTGCAAGGCACACAAGTCAGCCAGAGAGCTAAACACGCACTCTATAAGGGAGAAGTACAATTCAGGACCATGGCTTGCCACAAGATAATTCTAATTGAAAAGCCCGTAACCAACAGTCTTAGGCAACTTATACAATTTAAGTTATTGTTTCATTATTCGTTCTATGTCGTATTTTTGATTTATTCCTAAGGTATTTATGTAACCAGATATGTACATATGTAAACAATGTCTTTCACATATGCATGCTTATAATCGGCCGAAGCTAAATATCATTAAATATTTATGCAACATAGTATATGCTAACTAAATAGGCTGTAAATTAAAATAGCAGCACAGAAAACAAAACAATCGCAATTGTAATGCTGTTGATAAAAGTCGAAGCAGACGCTCATGAATGTGTCTGTGTGTACATGTATACAGAAATTCTTGGAATTTGCGCTAGCTGCCGCAAACACGTGGTCAGTCAAATTTTCTACAGTATGTCTTATTGCGCTTGGAAACGGAGCAGGTTATTGACTATCGGAAAAGAAACCAATTGGGGTCGGAGATGCTTCCTTCGGCCCGTTACATAAAATATGTTTTAATCCATGTATAAATCTTTTTGTCCAGACTGACGGAATGGTGATCAACGCACAGCCCAAACCGTAAGAGCTACAAAGCTGAAATTTTCAGTGTAGCCACCTTTTGTGTGAAGAATTCCACCGGCAAATGTGAAAAAATCGTGAAATCAAAGCTTGTCGGTGAAAAGTGCAATTCAAAGATTTTATGGTCAAGATTTAAGTTTTGTCCGATTTGCTTCAAACTTATTTTCGAAGCTCTACATAAAAACATAATGAATACGTGTTTCAGCGATTTGGGAAATTCCACCCGCAACAGTGGTAAGCTTGTGGAACTTTTGTTAGTTTATTGTCCGATCAGTGTCAACATCGTTTTTAAAGCTTTTTGAGAACATTTATTTCGTACGTGCAACGGGCACGGAAACTTGCATGTTTCAGAAACTAATTACAACAAATTTCGATCTAGATCTAGATTTGGTAGATCCCAATTCTGGGCAGATATCGATTAAGGCCCGCGACTTCCAGATGAACATATGTAATGTTTTCAATATTTTTAGTAGAACGGGTAATTGCAAATTAAATTGTTTCATTAAAATTTGAGAATATACGGGAAACCAAGAGTTGTACAAGTACCTCGATTCAAGTATGTATGTGTAGAAGGACTCACACCGTGAACTGAACCATCGACATCTTTTTTTCTGGGTGGCAGCGCAGATGTGTGGGCCATAAGAAGCTTCCTCCTTCTCAAAATTGTGGAGTGTGAAGTAGAAGCGGAAAGTATCCTGGACAGTATCCTCTGATAACCATAATTTATCATAACTATTAAAGGAGATTAAAGAGATTCGATTCGATAGCTTTAAATTGTTTATAGATCGATAAGAAAAATCTATTTTACATTCTAAAACTTGAACAATTAAAAAATAATTACTATTGTTCAAGAAACTTTATTATTTATACAAAACGAAAAAACAGCTCAAATTCTATAGATATTGCAAAAAAAAAAAAAGTATTGTCTGTTTTGTGAGCAGTTGTTTTAGTGGATCTTGTTCCAGGCACATGCCAACTGGTCCTCCTAATAGATGTAACCCCCGTTGGAGCCATATTTGGTGTCCAGGCCGCTGTAGCCCGTGCCGGCGTAGCTGGTCAGAGCTGGCAGATAGGCGCGCGAGGGCGTGGCATAGCTGTTGTACTGCGGCACCGAGGCATAGCTGTTGTAGCCGGAGTTGACCAGCGGGGCACTGTAGCTGGAGCCGAGGCCGGAGCCCGAGTAGTAGCCGACGCTGGAGTAGGCGCTGCCCGTATACGAGGGATACGTGGAATGCGTGGGATACGAGGGATACGAGGAGTACGTTGAGTAGCCGCCAGCGCCGCTCAGCGGGGGCAAATAGTTCCGCGAGAGGGACAAATGGGAGACATCAGCGGCGCACAGTGCCAGGGAAGCAATCAGAACGATGGCCGTAATGGAGGGCTGTACAAAAGGCAGACAAGAAAATTATGGTATGCTACTATATACTAAAAAGAACTGCTTAATCTGAGTACTTTTCTAATTCTACTTTAAGCCTTGTTGAGGCCATTTTAAATGACATCAATATATATCACATGGGTTTTTGTTTCATAAATAGTAGAATTTAGTTTTCACAGTTTTAAAAAAAATGGTCACACTTTAATATACATATATAGAAACCCGCTAGTGCAGTGCCGTTGATTATATTTTCACAGATTTTCTTTAGTACTTGCCATTTTAAGGATTTGAAGTCTTAAAGTCCTACGTTGTTAGACAAATACAATTCCTAGAAGAGTTATGCACTGGGACAAGGCTGCCGAATGACTGTTGTTCATCTTGGCATCGAGTGCGCGTTTTATACGCTTGAAAACAAGCTGAACTGTTATTAAATTAAATATATCGTGCGGACAGATTTTACAACTAATTTTAACGCCTTTACCGCACTGCAAACATGTCGACGGACAATGCTCATTACTCAAGCCAACAATGACTGAAGCCGAAACCCAAACTGAAACTGAAACTGAAACTGAAACTGAACCGTTTAGAAATGTACGGCGACATGTTTAGCTGTTTTAGCGGATCCCACGATCCCACGACTCATCGACGGTGAACACCCAATTTTGGTTGGTCTTGGATGGTTGGTAGCTTTTGTGGTGCTTTTTATACCCTTGCGGAAGGTATTCCGATTTTGTCGATCAGTAACATCAAATGTCATTATGAATATATCATATATGAACCATACATAGGATGAATAAAACCTTCGAATTTGCTTTAGAACAATCCAACATTGGTACACTATATTACAAAAAAGAAATGAGTATTTGTATTAGTTTCTCTGTGATCAAAATCTAATCGGATTTACTATTTCTTATAGTTTTTTTTAGAAACAGTCGTACGGAAGTAAAGTGTTTGCATGAGAACAGTTCTAAAAATTGAAATAAAGTGCACATCTGCCAGGGTATTTACAGTTCGGTGTGCCGATGACAGCTCTCTTATTTTGTTCGGTTTTGTTATTGTTTTTATGACCCTGCCACGCCTTGCCTCACGTACTTCACCTCTCCTTCCGTGTTGTTGAGATGCGAAACGTCGCTTGGCTGGCTTTAAGGGTAACATCGTCGCGCGCTCTTTTTCTTTAATTATACAATTTATATTTTTTAAATCTAACTCTGGTTATTGTTTTGTGTTAAGTGCCCTTGTTGTTGTTCGTGTTTGTTGTTTTATGACATTTCGCGGTCGCCGGTCTAACGCTGTTGTCTTATATGAGTCGCTGCTCATAAATCTTAAAGTTATTAATTGTTGCTACATCACAGATTGCAGTCCATTTGCGGTATCTCAGGTTTGAGTCCGGGATCCGATTGCAATAATTCTTTGTCTGGCCCAAAAATGACCACGTTACTTGATATCAAAACAGCTTCGATGTGAGATCATTAATTTCTTATTTTTATTATTTATATTTATATCAGAATATCATTAAATCAAATGCTATGTCATTCTATAACAAGAATACAAAAGTTGCATCCTCAATATCAATAATTTCGCATTTCTAAATACGTTATACAATAATTTGAAATTTTAGATCGCTTATTGGCAACATTTTCGTTAAGGAGTTGCCACCGGTTGTCACAATAAGGCTGCCATTTATTATTGGGCGTGTGGACACACTGCCCATGCTTATGGGCTGCGTTTTCGCAAGAAACCCAATATGGAAATAGAAGGAAAAAAATGTAGCAAATCAATAAGCACACCGTTTCGCAACGCTGCATAATGCCGCGCCGTGAAAACAATAAAGTTGATATCAAGCCTAGTTGGATTACTGATTCCCGCAACTTTTTTACTCATGTAATTACCGATACCTTGGAGAGTCTCTGCAAAAATTCAATGATTGAACTAAGCGACACTGAAAAAAGTGCGCTCTCCAAACTGGAGACACAATGGATGCAACACTATATGCCCAGCAAGCATATGCCGGAGTCGAATCCCTGCCCATTACCGGTTCCCAAGCGAAAGCCGCGACGGCCTACCGTAAGACCGAGAGCAAAGGCAGCCGGTAAAGCAAAGCCAGATGCACAGTCTGTGGATCCCCACACTTTGGATGACCACGTCAATATAGTGTATCGCATTTGCATTCCTCCACTGAAGCCCCATTGGCAGTGCCGCAGCTTCGATCTCTGTATGCCTGCATATGTATGCAAGGACAATTTAATTGAGCAGCTAATAACCTGGCAGCTGCTGGACCGCATTATGGAGCTGCCGCAGGAAGAGGCCACGGCGATGTTTCAGAAGTATGTGAAAAAATTGCTGCAGATGCAAGTTGATTAAGCAGGCCTTCCAAAATAAGATATATTTTAATACGCATATATATATATATATATATATTTGTATATATATATATATAATGTTTGTGTGTGTATGTATGTATGAATGATGTATGTAATAGGTTTGTGAAACACAAGTAAATTCAATAATGTGAGGATTGAAATTGACGCAATTCGTAAATCTAACGCATTTTTGGCCTTTTGGAGTATTTCAACAGTTATAATAACTGGCCACACTAAATGTAACGGCACTTGGCCGAATTTCGAAATTGGAAACTGATCAATTGCAGTTCATTGCAATTGAACATCGTTCAGTTCGCTTTTTGCATTTCAACGTTTGCGTTGAACTTGCGCATGCTCGTTGCATTTTGTTAATCATTGATGTTGAACGTTTTTTTTTTTGTGTTCTGTTAAATGTTTAATTTATGAATAAGAACGCGGTGAATAAAACCACAAACTGCTGCACTAAAAGCAAGTATCAAATGTAAGTAGCAAATATCGCTGGAGCTATGTTTGTTGCGTGACATAACCTCAAATGCACACGTGGATTTATTTTTAATAGGGCCGCAATCTTGCGGGATAATCATGTGCGAACACAGTGCCATGTGCGTGGCCGGCAGTGGAGTGGTAAAAACGTCAGCCGGTGGTCCTGGTGGCTTTTGTGCCTGTGCCCTGCAGTGCTGCTGCTCGTTTGCGGTGAGGCTTCTGCCGCCGCGACGGGATCAGCGCACGCGAGGTGCGATGCAGATCAATTCCAGTGCAGAAACGGAGTCTGCATCTTACAGGCGAAGATGTGCGACGGACGAAGCGATTGCACAGACAACACGGATGAATTGGAATGCGGCAAGTGAAGAAATTCTAAAATCGAACCTAACCTCACCTAAACAAACCTAACCTCAAACTAATGTACATTATATCCTTGGACTGCAGACTACAAAATGTGCCGGCAGCCGCATTGGTTCCCGTGTGCCCAGCCACACGGTGCCTGCCTGGCAGCGGAACTAATATGCAACGGCGTCGACAACTGTCCAGGCGGTGAAGATGAGCTTCAGTGTCCGCATCGCCTGGTATTCAACTTCGGCCGGCGCAATTGCAGCCAATATGAGTACATGTGCCAGGATCACAGCTGCATACCGCTCGACTTCATGTGCGACGGCAAATCCGACTGTGCCGATAACTCCGATGAGACAGCTGGCTGCAAACAGGCGGCCACCAGCTGCACTAGTGGTCATCTCTGCAGCAACGGCCGTTGCCTGCACCGCAAGCAATGGCTCTGCGATGGCGTCGATGACTGCGGCGATGGCAGCGATGAGAGTGACTGCGGTGAGTCTTGCTTAAACAGAAGTACAGCATGAACCCAGCATTAAACACTTGCATTCAAAATTTTGCTTTCCAGAGAATCTCTGTCAGCCGTCTATGGGAAAGTTCATGTGCCGCAATCATGGCAGCTGCCTGCCGCTCAGCCAGGTGTGCGATGGCCAGCCCAATTGTTCGGATGGAAGCGATGAGAGCGAAAGCTGCCGTGCCAAGCCCGATTGCAGCACAAAGCAATGCCCGCCTGGTGCCAGTTGCCACATGATGCCCGCCAGCGGGGCGGAATGCTTTTGCCCAGACGGCTTTCGGCTGTTAAAGTTTAAGGATAAATGCGAAGATATTAACGAGTGTCAGGAGCGTGATGACTTGTGCAGTCAGCGCTGCGAGAATACATCCGGCGGCTATCGTTGTGCCTGCGATGCGGGCTACGAACTGGATGCCAGCAACAATCGCACCTGCCATGCCCTGGATATTGGCTCAGGGAAACAGTCCGCACTGCTGCTTTACACCACACAGGTGACTGTCATGGGCATGCATTTGAAGCAGCAAACGCATCAGCGCAATCATGTCTTCAGCGTGGCCACCAATCTGAGCAAGGTGATTGGCGTGGCCTTCGATGGCGATCACATCTACTGGACCAACATACAGAACGAGGCAGAGAGCATTGTGCGTGCACGTGCCGATGGCTCTATGGCGGAGATATTGCTAACATCTGGTCTGGATGCGCCCGAGGATTTGGCCGTCGATTGGCTGACGCACAACATTTACTTTTCGGACAACATAATGCGACACATTGCGGTCTGCTCGAACGATGGGCTCAGCTGTGTGGTGCTGGTTACCCAAGATGTGCATCAGCCGCGCAGTCTGGCGCTATGGCCACAGCGTGGCCAAATGTTCTGGACCGACTGGGGCAATAAGCCAATGATAGCGCGCGCTTCCATGGATGGTACTAGATCCCAGCCGATTGTTGCCGATAATATACACTGGCCCAATGGCATTGCATTGGACATGCATCAGGAGCGTATCTACTGGGTGGACGCCAAGCTGGGCAGTGTTCAGACCGTGCGTCCAGATGGTAGTGCACGCCGCACTGTGCTAGACGGCATGCTAAAGCATCCGTACGGACTGGCGGTATTCGAGGATCAGCTATACTGGTCAGATTGGGGCACCAAGAGCATCCATGCCTGCAATAAGTTCTCTGGGAAACAGCATCGCATCTTGGCACGCGATCGCATCATCTATGCTGTCCACGTCTATCATCCGGCCAAGCAACCGCAGGTGCCGCATCCCTGTGAAACGGCGCGCTGTTCGCATCTATGTCTGCTCGCTGAACCGGATGCTGGTGGCTATTCATGCGCCTGCCCGGAGGGCATGACCCTATCACCGGATGGACATCGCTGCAGCCAAACCGAGAAGAAGCAGCGTCTGTTTATTGGACTGCGCCAGGTGCTGCTCGAGATTGAGCACACTTCGTTTGGCCGTCACGTAGTCAGCGCGTCGCACACCCTGCCCTGCCGCATCAGCGAACTGGCCTACAATAGCATCAATAGCACCGTCTTCATTGCGGACAATATGCAGCGGGCGATCTTCGAGTACGCGCCCCATCCGAGCGAGCAGCGCTTAACCATGCTGGTCTCCCGCAATTTGGGCAATATCAGCAGCCTGGCATTTGATCATTTGGCTCACAATCTATACTGGGCAGACATGGAGCGGCATGTTATTGAGCTGTTATCGCTGCGCACCGGACATCGTGCACTGGTGCGCTTTTTTGCCGGAGATGAGCTGCCCATCGGTCTGAGCGTGATGCCAGCCGAGGGTTATATGTTTGTAGCGCTTAAGGCGCGCAGGCATACGCACATCGATCGCGTGGCATTAAGCGGACGCGGCGCCCAGACCCATGTCTTTGAGGAGGATCTGGGCGATGATGACATCAAGTTCGCTGTCGACTATGAGACGCACACCATGTACTGGTCGGACAGCGATACGAGTCGCCTTAGCTTCAGCAACTATCGCCAGACGCATGCGCAAATGTTTCGCGGCAAGTTCCGGCGACCATACGCTCTGGCTTTGGTCAATCAGGATCTGTTCTGGAGCGAGCTCGGTACACCGGCCATCTACTGGACGCACAAGAGCAACATGGGCCCCAACAAACGCATCGAGATCGAAACGAATCCGCACCTGGGTCTCGATGGTGACGCTGCAACAGCCGCCACCTATCTGCACCTCACGCTGCCCGTTCGCATACCGCTGACGGCCAGCGGGCGAGTGGTTGCCAGTTTAACGCCGCATCCCTGCCAGCAAGCCAACGGAGGCTGTTCCCATGTGTGCGTCAGTGCGGGACAATTTGACAGAGCGTGCCTCTGCCCCGCCGGCTTCGTGTATCGCGATGCCTTCAATCGCAGCTGCACCGAGGCCCTGGACTGTGAGTTCCGTTGCCGTTCCTCCGGCGAATGCCTGACCATGGCACATCGCTGTAATGGTCATCAGGATTGCGCCGACAGCTCCGACGAGTCGGACTGTGACACCATCAAGCGCGTCAAGGTCAAGTGCGGACTCACTCAATTCACCTGCCATGACGGTGAACGGTGCCTGGATAAGAGCAAGCGATGCGATGGACACAAGGACTGCGATGATAACTCGGACGAGCTGCACTGCGCCCAATTCGGTACGTTACTTTGCTTCAATTAAGCTCTCAGTCTGTCAATCACTCAATCGATCTGTCAAGTAGACAGTCAATTAATGGCTGAATCACTGAATCTGTCGACAATCTATCTAACTATCCGACAGTCGTATCATTCATATCATATGTCCATCACTCAATCAGTCCATTTCGCCTCCAGATAAAACCAAGCTCTGCCACGCTCACCAACTTGCTTGCGATAATGGCAAGTGCGTGGATTACACCTTGGTGTGCGATGGCAAAAACGATTGTGGCGACAACTCGGATGAGCTCCGCTGCAAGGAGGCCGCCAGCTGTGATCGTGGGATGTTCCAGTGCAGCAGCGGCTCGTGCATTGCCAGCAGCTGGGAGTGCGACGGACGCATCGACTGCAGCGATGCTTCCGACGAGCACGACAAGTGCGGCCAGCGCCAGTGTCCGGCGCAGATGCATCGCTGTCTGTTGGGCCAGTGCCTCGATGCGCAGCTCGTCTGCGATGGCCACAACGATTGCGGCGATCTGTCCGATGAGCTCAACTGTGAGCAGCGCAAAGGCGCTGCTGCTACTGGTGCTGCGGTCAACATAAGCTGCGGCACCCTGACCACGCCCATGTATCAATGCGCCAGCAATATGCAGCTCTGCCTGGACATGGAAGTGCGCTGCAATGGCAGCGCCGAGTGTCCGCGCGGTGAGGACGAGGCCGACTGCGGCGAGCTATGCAGCATCTACGAGTTCCAGTGCCGCGACAGTAAACAGTGCATACGCCAGGAATTCCGCTGCGACAAGGAACGCGACTGCGCCGACGGCAGCGACGAGGAGCACTGCGAACAGTACGCCAATGGCAACGAGACAAGCACTCATCTGGCTGGTGAAAGTGTGAGTGCAAGGCGCGCCTGTAAGCCCCATCTGTTCGATTGTCACGATGGCGAGTGCGTGGACATGTCGCACGTGTGCAATGGCTTTGCGGACTGCACCAATGGCAACGATGAGGGCCCGCAGTGTACCAGCGCATGCAGCAAGCCTCTGTGCCA